AGGGGACAGAGAACACACATGGTACAGCAGGGGAGATAAAAATAAGTAAGGAAGAATCAAACAAATGCGGGGGAGGTGAATTTAATGAACAAAGGAAAAAGAATTGTTATGGCAGGGGTAGAGTATTCAATAGAGGAGACAAAAGGGAACAAGTGTGGAATCCTAAAAACTATCCTGCCAAGGAACAAAATATCATAACAAATAATAAATATGAGGCACTGAGGGAGGACATTGAAAATGAGGTAGAGGAGCTAAGGGGGGTGATAGAAATAAAGGCACAAAAGACGCAAGAAAGGGAAGTGTTAACAGGGGAAGAGGCAGAAACTCATCTGCAATCTGGTGGGGGGTTCTTTGGGGATAACATGGGAGAGGAGAAGATATACAAAGAAGGTGTGGGTGAGAATAGCAGTCGGGGTAAGGAGACAACACCAAATCAGAAAGAGAAGCAAGTGCAAATTGAGAAAACAGAAGAAAGAGTATCAGTTCAATGCAAAGATCACAGGCAAGCATCAGAAGGGATAAAGGAGACAGTACAAATAACTAAAGAAGGTGACATAAATGAGGAGAGGGGGAGCACTAATAATACACCTAAAACGCAGCAGCAGGAAATCAGTCAAGGTGAAGAAGGGGGGAATATAGAGAATGAAGGGTCTGAACACAGGATAGGGAGGGATCTGTCTATTAAAATACATAATCTCTCGCAAGACGAGAAGCAGCAAAAACAGGATACTGAGGAGGAGGAGAGTCTAGAGGCGAACATAGATAACATCAGTAGAAGCGGGGATTTATCACCAACACAGATTGAGAGAATAAAAATAAAAAATAAAAGGGATACAAGAATTAACGAGACATCACAAATAAATACAAGGAGTATAAAGGGTTCGTCATCCATTTCTGATCAATGATAGACAAGATGTTATTTTGGAATATCAGATCAGTGAAATCTCAGAATGCTTTTGAGAGAGTACTTGAACTGCACAAGAGACATCATTACTCATACATCGCTTTATTAGAACCTTTTCAAAGCCCTTCAGAATTAGAGCAGTACAGAAGAAAGTTGGGTCTACAAAATGCCAAGGCTAACTGCTCAGCAAAAATTTGGATTTTCTGGGATGACAGCTGGGAAGAGGAAGGTTCATCAGATACTACACAACAACTTACCATGAATTTCAAAATAAGTGGAACACAGGATAGATTTGTTGTAACGGCAGTCTATGCTAGATGTAGTGCCCTTGAAAGATTGGAGCTTTGGGAGGACCTGGAGTGTATGACAAGCCAAAGTTTCCCTTGGTTAGTGGCGGGAGATTTCAATACTATTGTGGATGATTCAGAGAAGCTGGGTGGATTACCAGTATCAAATTTAGAAACACATGATTTTATTCAATGCATTAATTCATGTACTTTGAATGAGTTGAGGTTTACGGGCAGTATTTTTACTTGGTGGAATGGGAGAATTGAGGAAGCATGCATATTTAAAAGATTGGATAGAGTTTTTGGAAATAATAGTTTTATGAGTCTTTTACCAGAAAGTGAGGTACATCATCTAATAAGGCAAGGATCAGACCATGCTCCCTTACATGTCGTGTCTAACTCAAGTCAGGAGAAAATCATTAGGCCTTTCAAGTTCCTAAATTTTTGGACCAAACATGCAGACTTTCAAAAGGTGGTAGAGGAGAGTTGGAGGATGCAGGTAACTGGCTCTCCTTTCACTATTGTTCATACAAAGATGAAAAGACTGAAGGCAGTACTGGCGCAGTGGAGTAAGAATACATTTGGAAATATTTTTCAAAAGATTGCAACTTTGGAAGATGTGATAAAAGAGAAAGAGATACAAATGGAGATAGCACCTACAGAGGCAAACAGGGCAGAACTCAGTAAATCCAATGCTGATCTGAAGAGGTTTATGAAAATTGAGGAAGAATTCTGGAAGCAGAAAGCTGGGATGAGGTGGTTTAAAGATGGGGACAAAAATACAAAGTTCTTCCATGCCTATGTTAATGGAAGAAGGAAGAAACTGAATATTAAAGAAATCAGAACAAGACAGGGGGACATCATTACTTCATCACAAAACATAGGGGAAGAAGCAGTTAATGTCTTCGGGGAGCAATTCACAGAAACACAAAAAACAACTGATTTTTCAATGCTTCAATGTATTCCCAAGATCATAACTGACAACCAGAATTATGAAATGGAGAGGGCTCCTAATAAAGATGAGGTGAAGAATGTGGTTTTTAAACTAAATGGGGATAGTGCCAGTGGACAGGATGGCTTCTCAGGGCAATTTTTTCAAAGTTGCTGGGAAATCATTGGTGATGATGTATGGAACATAGTAAGGGCTTTTTTCAGTGGATATGAGTTGCCAAGATTCATAACACACACAAATCTAGTGATGATACCAAAGAAGGAAGTGGTGGATAATTTTGGGGACTTAAGACCTATTAGTTTGAGTATGTTTGCTAACAAGATTATATCAAGGCTAATACATGACAGAGTTTCAGTGGTGCTGCCGAGATTGATTTCAAATAACCAATCAGGTTTTGTTAAAGGAAGAAGTATAACTGAAAATGTGCTTTTGGCTCAGGAAATAATAAGGGACATCAACAAGAGGAACAAATTGCATAATGTAGTGGTAAAATTGGACATGACAAAGGCATATGATAGAGTCTCATGGAAATTCTTAATTCAAGTCTTGAGAAGATTTGGCTTTTCTGAGAGAATCATTGACATGATAGTGCGGCTTATATGTAATAATTGGTATTCAATGTTGATAAATGGGAAACCATTTGGTTTCTTCCCGTCTTCAGGAGGTTTGAAACAGGGTGACCCCTTATCCCCAACTTTGTTTATAATAGCAGCTGAAGTTCTGAGCAGGGCCCTAAATGGTTTATGTGAAAATGCTGAATTTAAGGGTTTTGGTTTGCCTAAATGGAGTCCGCAAATAAACCACCTATCTTATGCTGATGACACTATCCTTTTTTGTTCAGGACACCCTAAATCAATGAGGATGATGATGTCTGTGTTAAGAAGATATGAGAGGGTGTCTGGACAAATGATCAACATAGACAAGAGCATTTGTTACCTACATGAAAAGGTCCCCATAACAGTGTGTAATCAAATAAAGAGGATAACAGGAGTCAGGCAAGGTAATTTTCCTTTTACCTATCTGGGCTGTCCTATTTTCTATGGCAGGCAAAATAAAAGGCATTTTGAACTCCTTATTAAAAAGGTGGTTAAGAGAATGGCCATGTGGCAGAATAGACTCTTATCTTATGGGGGAAGGTACATTTTGATATCACATGTTTTACAATCAATGCCCATGTACTTATTATCAACCATGAATCCACCAGTCAGTGTTCTATACCAATTACATAAGTTGTTTGCAAAGTTTTTCTGGGGAAATGCAACTGGTTCAAAGAACAAGCACTGGGTGTCATGGGAAAGCATGTGCTATCCCAAGGAAGAAGGGGGGTTGGGTTTCAGGTCTTTACATGATGTATCAAAGGCTTTGTTTGCAAAGCTTTGGTGGAAATTCAGAACTTCAAGTTCTTCTTTGTGGAGTGGTTATATGTGGAACAAATATTGCAAGAAATTGCACCCAATTATAACTACAGGTAGGGGTGCCTCACATGTGTGGAGAAAAATGGTAATGATAAGAGAGGAGGTTGAGCACAATATATGGTGGCAAATAAAGGCTGGAACTTCCAGTTTTTGGTTTGATAACTGGACAAAATTGGGAGCTCTTTTCTATATTGAGAGTGATATGGATAGTGAGGAAGAAGTTGAAGTACAGGAGTTTACAATTTTTGGTGAATGGGATGCACATAAACTAGCAACAAAACTTTCAGCAGAATTGGTGGAGTACATTCTGGAGAGTATAAAACCACCTAGTAATGAGTATCAGACTGATGTCCCTTGGTGGATGAGCAGTAAGCAGGGGAATTTCACTGTTAAATCAGCTTGGCAAACAATGAGGAAGAAACAGGAGAGGAGAACTGACTATGCTTTTATTTGGACCAGGGGGGTTCCTTTTAAGGTGAATTTCTTCTTATGGAGGGTTTGGAAAAGGAGAATTCCTACTGATGATAATTTAAAAAAGATGAAGATTCAAGTAGTTTCAAGATGTTGGTGTTGTGATGAAAAAAAGGAGGAAACAATGTCCCATAATTTTCTAACAGCTTCCTTGGCTAACAAGTTATGGAGGCAATTTGCTAATTTTGCAGGTGTACGCATGGAGGGGATGCATTTACAACAATTAATCATTGAGTGGTGGAAATTCAACACATCACCACAACTACAAAGAGTAATGAGAGCAATGCCAGCAATAATCACGTGGACAATATGGAAGAGAAGAAATAATATAAAACATGGAGGAAATACAACATTGAGTGGAATGGTGGTGCAAGTTCAAGATATGGTCAGAAACCTTGTGAAAACTTTATATCCCTGGATACATCTAGAGTCCAATTTGTGGCCTGATATTGTCATGAAACTAAAGTGGTACACTCCTAAATTACACTATCATAGTGTACTATGGAAACCACCAGATACACACAGGCTGAAATGCAATACGGATGGGGCATCCAAAGGGAATCCGGGACTCAGTTCTTATGGCTTTTGTCTGAGGAATTCACATGGAAATTTGATATATGCAAGAGCAGCAGGAGTGGGTACTACTACTAACACAGAGGCAGAGGCAGTGGCAATACATGAAGCATTGGAGTATTGTTGGGAGAACAGGCTGCGAGAAGTAATAATCGAAACCGACTCATTGTGTCTGATGCAGATGATAAGAGGGCTTTGGAAGATACCCTGGGATTTGGCGGAAAGAGGAGAGATTATAAGGAAGAGATTACAACAATTAAATGCAAACATCATCCATATTTTCAGAGAAGGCAATAATGTGGCAGACCTATTAGCTAATCTGGTAGTTGAATCACAACAAAGAAAAGAGTACAACAATTTTGAGGAGCTACCTACCAACATCAGGAGACAGATCAATATAGACAAAGCACAAATACCAACTTTGAGGATCAGAACCAGGAAAATCAATATTCAGCACTGAGAATAACAAAAGCATTTGTAGATAGTAAATAATGCACATGACTACTGCAGATCGTTACAGAGCATACCTACATCAAAATACAAGAATCTGCCACATTGCTACCAGGAGAGGTAAAGAAGAAAACATAAACGCAGTACAACGAGCTAAAGAGTATTGCCATAGATATCAAAAAGTTACATCATACAGACGAACAAGTAAATGGTTTGGTTGTTACCGTTGGAGCTTTAGAATCGGAGGGACCGAGACACCACATCTACATCTGAGAAAAAGCACAAAGGAAAAGGAGATTAGCTTGCAAGAAGAGGAACGCACAACAGGACTGATTAAGGGACAATCCAAGCTCAGAGAACTCTCATGTTTACATTTGGGGATGAATCCCGACCTATACACAACCTTCAAAAATCAAGAGAGGAAGAAAGGAGTAAACAACGAGAGAGAAAGGAAGCAGACTTACCGGATAGCATCAAGAAGTGATCGACAAAAGAGACACACCGGCTGGAAATTTCTGAGACAGAATGATCGGAAATGGAAGGTGGAGGAACAGTGAGTTTGCTTCAACAACAGATAGAGAAAGGAATAAATTAGGAAATCTAGATTTTGGTTTTATTGGGCCTTGGGCCATTGTAGTTGTTTGGATCTAATTTTATTTTAATAAAAGGCTACGGGCCATAAATTTCAATTAAAAAATAAAATAAAATTGAGGTGCACCAATTTCCAAGGCGACTAATGCCTAATGGCTCTTGAAATCTCCCTACGACTTATATGATTTTTTTTGTTCCGTATTTAGCCCCTTAACTTGGTTATCAATGCGGACCAAACTTACTATAGCGTCTTTAGCCAGAAGCAGATACGTAACAACCCATTCTCACAATTGCCAACAACCCACTCTACCTCTTCACTTTAACTCTCTAAGCAACTATGATGTTTCCTCAACTAACAAAATATTACATGATCTTGTCAAATATGGATCTTTAACCTCTGCACGCCACTTGTTTGATGAAATGCCTAAACGTGATGTTGTTACATGGAATATCATGATTTCTGGATATAGTCATAATGGGTTTCCAAGAAAATCATTGCACTTGTATAATAAAATGGTTTCTAATGGTATTATAGAGAATTCATCCACTTTCTCCTCTATATTGACCATATCTGCTAATGCAGGTTTGTTTAAACAAGGGGTTGAGATTCATAGCAGAGTTGTTGTTTTGGGATGTAGTATGAACTTATATGTTGCTAGTTCACTTGTTAATATGTATATAAAAATGGGGTTTATAGATTTTGCTTTTAAATTGTTTTATGACTTACCTAAACGAAATTTACCGATATGGAACTTGGTTTTACGCGGAATTTGTGAATTGGGTCGGTTGAGTGAGTTCTTAAGATTGTATAGTGATATGAAGATGGAGAATGTCGAGCCTAATGGGGTTACGTTTTGTTATTTGATTCATGGTTGTTGTAAAGAGAGACTTGTTGACAAGGGCAGGCAGCTGCATTCCCATGTGATTAAGAATGGATGGTTAGAATCAAATATTTTTTTAGCTAATGTATTGGTGGATTTTTACTCTGCTTTTGGTATTTTGGTTGATGCCGATAAAGCATTTGAATGTATTCCACCTCAGGATGTCATTTCATGGAATTCAATGGTTTCCGTTTATGCTGCTAATGATTTGTTACATGAAGCTGTTCGACTCTTTGAAGAGATGAGATTGTGGGACAAACATCCCTCTGCTATGTCGTTCGTGGCATTGTTAAATTTATCAAGTCGCGGAAAGGAACTGCTATTTGGAAAACAAATACATAATTTTGTTATAAAAGTGGGTATTGATTATGGAAGTGTCCTCATTCAGTCAGCTTTGATTGATATGTATGGGAAAAATGATGACGTTCAAAGTTCAATTGATGTATTCCAGTGTTCACATGAGAGAAGTCTCGAATGTTGTAATTCAATGATGACATCTTTGCTGCATCTTGGTTTCCTACAAGATGTGTTTGAGCTTTTTAGTTGGATGGTTTGTGAAAATATTGTGTTTGATGAAGTGAGTTTGTCCTCAACAATTAAGGCATTATCATTGTATTCCTCTCCTAGCTTGGATAACTGTTGCTTGTTGCATTGTTGTGCAATAAAATCAGGTTTTGATTCTGATAGTATGGTCTTATGTTCTCTGATTGATGCATATTCAAGATCTGGACAGATTAGATTCTCTCAACAGATTTTTGAAGCACTTCCCTCACCTAATATTTTCGGTTTCACTTCAATAATTAATGCATATGCTCAGAAAGGAATGGGATATGAATGCCTTGCAGTGTTTGAAGAAATGATCCAAAGGGGTCTAAAACCAGATAAAGTAACATTCTTGTGTATACTGTTGGGATGCAACCATTCAGGTCTAGTCGAAGAGGGGAAAATGATTTTTGATTCTATGAGAACTATTCATGATGTCTATCCAGACAGGAGGCATTGTTCATGTATGGTGGATCTTCTAGGCCGTGCAGGTCTAGTCAATGAGGCAGAAGAGCTGCTAATGCATGCTTCATCGGAAGGAGATTCTGTCATGTGGAGCTCACTTTTGCGAAGTTGCAGGATTCATCAAAATGAGCATGTTGGAAGAAGAGCAGCTAAAAGGTTAATGGATCTTGAGCCAGAGGATCCTTCTTTTTGGTTACAGGCCTCAAATTTTTATTCTGAAATTGGAGAATTCGAAACTGCCATATACATTCGAGAGGTTGCAGTGGCGAGGAAGATGAGCAGAGATATTGGCTATAGTTTAATTCGGGTGCATGAGTTCCATTAAATATACACTTGATAAAAAAGAGGGTAAAAAGGATATCATGGCTGTTTGGTCTGCAGGACATGCTGGATATACTTTTTCTTTAAAAAATATATCTACCAGAATGGAGAGACTTTGTCTGACTCTATACTTTTGAAGCAAGGACACTGTGCTGCTTATTAACCGACTCCAATACCAAAATACAATACAAGTTTCAGAAGAAATTTATATGCATTGTTTGGTCTCTCCAATTACCAAGTAACTTTTTCTAGTGCCCTTTATCTTTTTCAAGATTTTCACATTTATTGATGAAGTAAAACTACTGTAGAGGTAATTTGACTGTCTAAAAGGGGAACCTTTGAAGATCGGTGCTGTAACATTTATTGTTGTATGGGTGAGAAAGAATCTACAGGAGCATTTTACTTATGAATAGTATGTTGAACCATGGCTGAGGAGTAAAGCAACGATCTCTAAAATGATATTCTTACACTTAAAGTGTGGGCTTGTAGAAAATGAAACACCTTTATCTACTTTCAAGCCAAGCCATATAACCCCACTAAATCATCCATTTTCAGCACTAATACATCCATATAAATTAATACTCTGTGGTCTCCTTTGATTTATGTAAAATCTAGAAATACAGAACGAATACCAGAACCCCCTAAATCATGGCTAAGATACTCTTCTTCTTGTTTCTTGTTTGGCTAATGGGGGCTCTTGGGGCTGCAAACACCAACTTTTTAGATGATGTCATCCTGTCAGAGCTTGATGATTTGGATGTAGAAGATGGTGATGAAGCAGAGTTGTTTGACCTCCCCAGATGGGGAATTGAACGCGGCAACAAGATTCTTGTCAATGTAGATAGCTTTGGTGCAGTTGGTGATGGCGCTTCAGATGACACCAAGGTAATTCATTTTAAAACTGGAATATTCGCCACAAAGATTTGCTGATCGACTTCTACCTGTTTTTGATTACAGTAGATTAATGGATTGAAAAAGTGTTCGGCAACTAGAAATATGACCATCCTGTATTTACTCCATTCATAATCGAGGTTGTCTTTCATACTGATTGCTTACAGGATTCTAGTCTTTACTGATTAGTCTCCTCTTCTAGTGGGGTGGACAACATAGACTACCAATGCTATCTTTTTCTTGAGTTGTAGATTATCTGTGTTGTTGTTGTTGTATCTGTGCAATTTGCAAGTACCTTCTCCCACTTTGTCAATTGTACCATCTCAGGCTTTCGTTGATGCATGGAAACAGGCTTGTTCAACACCAAAATCAGTCTTCTTTGTCCCTGCAGGACGCAGTTATCTAGTAAATGCAACAAGGTTCCGAGGGCCTTGTGTGGGCATACTGAGAGTCCAGGTTACACTAATTACATCTACTTCATGTCTTGTTTCAGTTTTTGTCCTCCATTTAGCATTTACTGTAGAAGAGACTTATGCATATTATACTTGGTTGAAATTGTTATTGTTTCCCTTATAGCATCTATTAAGCCAGCTCAAGCGTACCTTACTATTGTCATAAACTGGAAATGTGATTACACACAGATTGAAGGAACTATAGTAGCACCGGATGATCCTAAGAACTGGAATTTTGCAAAGAATGGACGAATTTGGCTTGGCTTCTTTAACTTGACTGGAGCTCTGTTCCAAGGAGGAGGGGTTATTGATGGATCAGGCAGCAAATGGTGGGCAGCTTCATGCAAGAAGAACAAGGCTAATGTAACTGATACATGCACTACGTATATGTTCTTTTATGTTTTGACAGATAAAGATGACTGTCTTATTCTTTCTTGTTTTTTCTTGTTTTGGATTTTATCCCGATAACAGCCATGCGTAGCAGCACCGACTGTAAGTGGACTATCACGAGGATCTCATGTTTAACTCCTATCATAATTGTGAAATCAACTTACACAGAATTCTAAATTGCAGGCTTTAACTATCTATGGGAGCTCAGGTATAAAGGTGAAGGACCTAACAATCCAAAATGGCCAACAGATGAATTTCGCCATTTCTCGATCAGACTCTATACGCATAACTGGTGTTACAGTGTCTGCTCCTGAAGACAGTCCTAATACTGATGGAATCCATATAACTGAATCTACAAATGTTGTACTCCAGAATTCCAAAATTGGAACAGGTCTTGACATGTCCCATATTATCTACATTCAGATCTCCTTATTTGACTGATGTTGACGTCAAGAACAAAAGTTGCAATATTATGTGATCTTGTCTATGGGATAAGATAGACTGTAGAAAAGTATCTCTTTTGAAAATGACATTTTAGTGTGCAACTGTATTGCTTTCTTAAATGTGCCTCTCAATAAGGCACTTCATATCTACCACAAACCTTGGCTTGAGCTCTGTGCATCTCTCACTATACTATTGAAAAAGCTAACTGGCAAACACGTATGAGTCCTCCTTTCATGCTCTGTGTTTTCTCAAATAAACTGGCACATGCAATGTTTTAATGGACGTGTCTTTATTGATATCATGAATGTTCAGAGAATAAATACTGGTTAGCTTCCTTTCTTATTTAGGTGATGATTGTGTCTCTATTGTCAATGCTAGTTCCAGTATCAAGATGAAGAGAATTTACTGTGGACCTGGCCACGGAATCAGGTAGTGCAATTTTCAGTTATCGTTGCCCTTTTAAATTACCTTTAGAAGTTCTGCAGAAGGGACCTAAGAGTCGATAAATAAATTCAAATGTCAAATTATGAAAGAATAAGCGAAAATATCATCCTCACGTTGTCTTCTAAACTGATTCTGTTGCATGAATGATGCCTGCCAGCATTGGGAGCCTTGGTAAGGACAACTCTATTGGTATAGTTACTGGGGTTGTACTTGATAATGCATTTCTCAGAGGTACCACAAACGGTCTGCGGATCAAGACATGGCAGGTATGCCGTTTTTAGCATTGTGTAGCACTTGAATTTGTCCCTATATATGGTATTACCCACATGATTGTTTGAAAATTAAGACTTCTTGGGTGATTTTACAACAGCTTTCCTTTTAATTAGCAAATAACTACAGTCTCAGTGCACTTGACATGGAAAAGATCTATTTAACTATACAAAATTCTGAGCCCCGACGAGGAAAAGCATACCTAGTTATCAATGGCACCTAGATTCTGTCTGAAAATAAAGAATAAATTTCATTTTATCTTAGAAACAGAATGACAAAAAGTCCTTGTTTTCTTAGGGAGGATCAGGTTATGTGCGTGCAGTGCGCTTCCAGAATGTAAGGATGCAAAATGTTTCCAATCCTATCATCATTGACCAATTCTATTGTGACTCACCAAAGTCTTGCCAGAATCAGGTATTCTTCTCAATTGTCATGTTTTCAATTGATAATGTATTACTTCGCAAAGGAAATAAATAAGATTCTCTCCAATAGTTGGAAAAGTTAACGTGACACTTGTTCTTGACATCATAGACATCTGCAGTTGAGATAAGTGAGATAGTATACCGGAATGTTAGTGGTACTTCAAAGAGCCAAAAGGCAATCAAATTTGCATGTAGCGACAACGTGCCCTGCAGCCATATTGTTCTGAACAACATCAACTTAGAGACCAGAGATGGTACTGCTGAGGTCTACTGCAACTCCGCCACAGGGATTGGTTATGGTTATATTCATCCATCAGCAGAGTGTCTCAACTCCTCTGACAAGAAAATTAAGCAGAAAACGGATGCTGGACTTGACGAACCAAGGGAAGAATACATCGTTCATACTGAGCTATGAATAGCCATCCACATGCCATCACTCAAACACATATTTTTAATATACATCTCGTAGTTTAGTTCTTACTTATTTGAGTAATCTCAGATTCTGAGATTCCTAACTAGGTAAGATAACAGATAAATACTGTTATACAGAGATTCATTAAAAATATTTATATAAGACATATTATATACATAATTTTCTTCCATGATAAGCTGAATGTAATACACAAATTTATTGAGAATTATGTTCAGTGTGTAAATATATTGAGAGGACCATTTTCTCATAGCTATGGTGAGTACTCCCTCTCAAATATTCTAAACCTTTTAATTTTAATTAAACATACTAATGCACTTCTCAACATTAATAAACAAAAAATCAGAAAATTTTATTTTCTCTATACGTTTGGATTCATCTCCAATTTCTTTTCTGAACATTGATCATGCCCTCAATCCAGGGCTCATGAGTATCGTAACTGTTCGAAATATATACCATTAATCAAATGCTTACATTTATTACTTATTAATATTATTGATTATGTGTTTAAATATAGTATTTGTTATAGAATAACTGTTTATTCAATTTTAATAGAATTTTTTTAATAGATTATATGTTCGTCTATGTGTCCACTTACTTATATGGTGAATGATTTGGTTTATAAAATTTAGCTTATACACAAATGATTAAATCATCAGTTCTTATAAGTATAAAGTTTATGTTCATAAATTTAAAATGGAAATTGGACAAAGCTCTCAGTATAATTGTATACGAGTTACATATATTTATCTTGATTATGAGAATGACAATAATTTTGACTTCTTGTGTATGTATTAATCGGATCAAGTCAAGAGAGTATTTCATAGTGACTTAATAAATAAATTCTCTAGTTCATTAAATATATTTATACTCTTAGGCTTAATATAATTATTATTAGCTATGTATATTGTTTATTATTTTGATTTATTATAAAACAAGATTCTTTTGTGAGTAAATATGTCTAGTAAATTAAATGATAACAATATATATTGGCAAAATAATAGTTAGCTAATGAAATCCATCTCTCAATCTGGAGATTGATGATACACCTTTATAAAGACTTGCAAGTTTTCATGTGTAAAAATCAGCAGGTAAATTTTATGTCCGACAAATAAAATAAGTTGAGCAAAAGTCTAAAGAAAATAGTCAAAATTAAATTATCGGTCATTTAATGGATTAGTATTTGAATCTTATGGAGAATTAAATGAGATTTAATGGAAGAATTTTGAAATTAAACTGAGGAGTTATATATTATGGTGGC